CCCAAGGGCAAGGAGCCACTGATCCTGACTTCAAACAGTGTCCTCTGCAGCAACCCTGATGCTGAGAAGTGATTAAGGGTGGCAAGAGAACCAAAAGGCTCCAGCTCTCTCTCCCACGCTCGAAAGCAATGCCACAATGGGGTGCAAGGCGTGGATTAGGGAAACCTGCATCCGGATGGAAATGGCAGCAGTTGCCTTTTCCAGCCTCTCCCCAAAGGAAAGGGGAGCATTTTCCAGGTGTTAATTTAACGTACTGCAGGGTTCAGAGGGAAGGGGGGCTGTTAGCACTTTGCAGATGTGAAAAGAAAGATGTGTCTTTCCGTCCCCACAACCCTGCCCGAGATGTCGTGGGTCATTTGACAGCACAGAGTGAGTTTCTTGTGCTGCTGAATTTTGGTTTAAAGGCAAAGTAGTGATCGTCCCCAGTGCCATGTAGGTCCCACAATGAAGGGCAAAGGGGAGCTCCAACTCCCAGCCCGCTGCTGTGGCCGAGGATGGGTTTGCAACCAGTAGTGGTAGTGCTGATTTATTCAAGGAGGAGGCAGAACATCTGCTTTTCTTGGAAAGGATTTTCCATTTGACTTGTATATGGGCTCTGCTTAGCCCAAAGGATGTCCTTGGACCCTGGGGCAGTCAAAAGGCTGAGGATACCTCGTGCTTTGCCCCCTGGTTCAGTCTGAAACAAGGTGCAGGGGGCAGCACAGGCACCTCCAGTGGGCTGGGGAAGGGCTGTGCGTCTCTGCTCAAGGCACCAGAAAGTCCACAGCATTCATTCTTTGATCACTAGATCATGCTGCATCTTGAAAAATGCTTCTGGAAGAGCACTTCTGAAGCAACTCCTTTTTCCTTCTTACTTTAAAAACTTTGGCTTCACTTTTAACCATCCCCAAACTCGCAATCCTTTTTCTGCACCTAAACAGGTGTATGAAAATATGGTTGGTTAGAGTTGTATGAGATGGGCTAAGAATGTAGGGAAAAGGGTTTCTGTGCCCAAAGGTTTGTCTGCTTTTTCCAACTTTAGCACTCAGTCTAGTAAGAGAAATAGTTCTTTAGTACAAGCCTTATAACCACATGTCATTCAGAAAAGTTTAGCTAAGAATTAAACTAAACATCCAATTTGGCTGCATGTGTAATGAATAAATAAAGCCTTTTCCTTTCAAGTACCCATGCCAAAGTCAACAAGCTCTATTAGCTGATGAAACAATGCTGACGCCAAATAAAAATACCCCTGACCCATCAATATGGGCTAAGAGCTCGGCCCTGCATCAAAGAGGTTTGTCAGAACAAGAAATACTGTCTCGACACCTCTGGGGGGAAAACAAAGGCCCCCATTCCTGCAGCAAACTGGGCTCCCTGTGCTGCTGGTGCAGGGAGCTCTCACTGGGATGTCAAGGAGCAGCAAAACCATTCCATGGGGACTGTCTGCTATGGACACCTCTCCTTGCTTTTGCTTAGAATGATTTGGAAACCTTCCGAACTGCAAACCTATTTGGAGCTGGGATTAGGGCTTTGGTGTTTGCTTGCTCCCCACTGCACACCCTGTGTGTGAACTCCCCACAAAACCAGAGGATTTTTTATCCTGTGTGCAAAACGCTGACGCTTCAAAGTGCAATCCTCCAAGGTCCCTGCTTGGCAGCAAAGAGGAGCTCAGAGTATCAACACCTGGGAGCACCCTGCCAGCTGGGCCATCCTCCCTCTCCTCCCCAGGAGAGTGGGAAGGTGAAGGAACACTCCATCTCCCCTCTGCCCCATGCAGACTGTGCAGCTTTGCCATTCCCCAGCCGTGCTTATCCTGCAAACCCCTCTCCTTTGAAATCCACGTTCGGCTGCTCCGTGCCATGCCCTGCATGTGATCTTTGAAGTCTTGCCCCTCCCTCGACATCCTTGGCTAAAAGATCTGTTCCCTATTAGTCTTCAGTCACGCTTTTAGACTCATTCAGGCTTTTATTTACTTATCCATCTGTCTTCCTGTTCCCACCACTCCCCCTGTCCTGCCAGGAGGGAAAGTACAATTCATTTTTCAGGTGACCCTGCCAGGAAGGCATTGACATGAATAGGAGCAGGTTCAGAAACTGTGGAAAAAGCAAAACCCTTGACTTCAATAAGCAGCAAACCACTTCCCAACCAGAAGAAAGCAGCCAGATGTGACTAGAATTGCTACAAAACAGAAAAGACTGTCCTCCAAATAATTTCTGCCATCCCCTGACGCCTCCTTGTGCAGAACTCTCTGTGAGCACTGCTCAGAGTTGTTGCAGGGCACTGTGTGATCCTGTGGGCTGTGTGATGCCTCCTGGTGCTGGTACAGCCTCGCAGGACACACTCACTGTCTGACAGGGTCCTGACTGTCACCAGGACTCTGCTCCTCTGCCTGCCCACAGCAGTGCCCTGCACAGGGACACGGTCCAGCTCCCTCCTGTCTGGCTGCTTTGAGCATGGAGGGGTGTTTGTGTGTCTTTAGTTTTGATTTCAGCTGTCTGAGCAGTGCAGGTGTCCTGCTGGGCTGCGCTTAATTCTGAGTAACGCGAGTTTAACTGCACGGACAGTACCCCGCTGCTTTGAAAGACACCTAAGAAAGCAATATAGTCACCGTAAGAACTTCTCTGCTGGAAAGCCAGGCTCCTGTGAGAACCCACCTGTTACAAAGAAATAATTAAAACCCGAAGAGGAAGGATAACAGGACACTGAAAGGCACCTGAGCAGGCTGGCAGCGAGGAGCTGCTCAGGGCGCGTGTGTGAGCTGCTCACCCTCCCCTCTCAGCCAGGGCCGGGGCTCGGAGGTTGTAACGATCGGTGGGCAGCGACATCGATTTTTGTCCGGCACTTCCTTAGTGCAGGGGGAGCAAAACTCGGCTCACATCCTCCGCGGGCTCCGCTCGCCTCCCCCTGCCTGTCAATAGGTGTCAAGTCACCACCCAGGACCGGCGGTAGAAGGGCCATTTCTTGCTGATTCCACTTTCTGCTGACCATAAGGGGATGCTCAGCAGTAAGTGGCCACATGTCATTCCCTGTGAAAATTTACCTTGATGGCCTCCCAGCCCACACCGCTCCAGTGCTAAGGCTGGATCTCTCCTGCAGCCACCTCCTGCTCTGTGCACTAAGCGCTGGGTGGGCTCTTTGCTCACCTCAGCAGGGCTGCTCTTCTTCTGCTTCGTTTTTATAACTCTTTAGTCCTCTGGAGAGGACAGTGCTGGTGTCAGAGAGGGGGGGAAAGGGCCATGAATACAGTGGAATTTCATGAGCCTATCCCAAAAATCTACAAAATTATATTGCAACATATCATTCCTGTTCTTAGCTTGATTCTTCATCAGGGAATTGCTCGGGGACATTGCTGTGAGCGCCTGTTTCTGTTTTGGAAAACAAAAGCTGGGCCAGGCTGGGGTGAGGCAGGGACAGGAAGGCAAATCCATGTTTTGCATTTGTGTAGCTCTCATTCACGGCTGTACACGGTGTTTGCAAGTGTTACAGCACATGGCAGGCGTACGCTACACGGAAATGCTGCCGGTGCCCAGAATAGAAAGATTTTAGCTCGGTATTGACTGAATCAAGAGATGTGGAGGGCTGATTGCAGTTTGTGTCTTTTGCTTCCTTGGAGGTCAGTGGAGCTGAAGTCTGGAGCATCCTTAACCAGAAAGGGTTTGCAAAGAGCTGCAGTGACTGTAGTGCAAAGCACTTTGGTGTTCTCCTTTTAATCCTTCTGCTGCCAGTCAGATAAATGGAAATACAGACCCACCCATCAATAGTTAACGGTTTTATTTGCAACCTTGGACTTAATCTTTCTTTTCAAACGATCTTTTAAAAGGTAAAGCTGCTACTTATCTGGAATTAGTGGAAATGTCTTCCCTGGTACTAATGAGACCCCTTAGGCTGGAGGGGACTGGGTAACTACTGGCAGCATGTCCTGATGGTCATAAATGTTTGGGGTCCCTTGGTATCAAAGCAGCATTTTTCTCTTGGATTTTCAAGAGGTGCCCTGAGCTGGTTGGGCCCAGGGTATTTCCTAGGTGGCAAACTGAGGCACAGGGTACACAAGCCTGGATAGCATTGGCAATAGAAAGTGGGACTCTGTACTGATTTAGAGGGAGAACTCCCCTCCTCATTATAGGTAATGAAAGAATAACATACTCTTTTAGAATAACTCTTTTAGAATACCTCCTTGTCCAGTGCTCACCACAATGGAAACCCTGTCAGCATGGGCTGGCTTGGTCCCTGTCCCTTAATTGTGTGCTTGGACCACTCCTGGGGGACATTTGAGAGGGGGCATTACTGTTTTGCTCTTTGCTTTGACCCCTGAATTCTTTAACAATGTAAGGCCTTGTGAATTATAAATCAAATGCTCCTGCTGAGCTTTGTGGTGCACGGAATGAAATGTGATGATTAATATTTAAGAGAAAATAAGTTAAAGATTTTAACTACAAGGGCAAATGTCTGTCCACAGAGTCTTTTCATGGGGAGGTTAGAGGAGAGGGAGAACCACATTTTCAGATATTTCAGTGAAATTTATGGCTGTCAGGCCAACTGCCAGAGCTGTCAGTGTGCAGGGGCCACACTGGCCCTCACCGACCTGCCTTTCACTCTTACTCAGAGATAATGTACCCAGCTCTCCCGTGCTGGAGCAGCCCTTTGGGGTGGGACTGGTGAGCACACCCCATATGCTTTAGCAAGCAGAGGGATGTGCTTGGAGCAGCTCGGGTTGAGTGCTCACTGGGGGCAGAGCTTTTCCAAAACCCAGACCTTACCCAGGACTTGTTCAGCCCTCCCCAGCTCCCCCTTGCCCTCCCCTCCACCATCCCTGCTGTAGGACTGACTTCTCCTTGGCACAGCACTGGGATGGGCAGGATGCCTTCCCCTACTTAGCAGACCAGGAGATTGAGAGCTCCAGGCAGCATCCACTGTGGCCACTCTGAACCAAAATGTCCTTACAATGGCACATTGGCAGGATGCTGCCTCTGGCCACCAGCAGAGCCTGTTATAACCCATCAGATAAGGAGGGAAACACTTACATGGGTGCAGAACCTCTCGGGTGGGTCCCCACAAGTGATTCCTGCCGGATCCACCCGGACCGTCACATAATCCTTCATCCGCATGGCCTTGGGCTGGCAAGCGTAAAACTCCCATGAGGGGCCATCGTCCGTGGTCACCCAGGACTTGCAAATGTCATACTGTCCCATGGCCAAGGGGACACAGTGCAAGAGGAGAGCAACCAGGTGGAGCATGGCAGCTGCGGCCAAGCGCGGGGTCCCTGGGTGAGGGCAGTGCCGGGAGTCCCGAGGAAGGCAGCTACTGGGCTAGGGGTTGCTCTCAGGATCAGCATGGAAACTCCTCATCTAAAAATGATCCAGTCGAAGGAGACCCAGATGGTAACAGGGATGATCCCACTCTGCCCGCTGTGTCTGGATGTGGAAAGTTCCTCTCGGCACAGAAGCCAACTTTGCAATTCACTTGATTGGGAAAGTTTTGGCCAGAGTTGCTGATCAGTGGTCAAAAGTCTTCCTTAACCTCATTTTCCCCCCCCTTTTATTGTACGAAAGGTCTTCCAAATCAGCATGAAAATATCTAGAGGTGACTCCAGTCAATCAATAGAAAGATCAAGTTCTGAGCTGCTGATGAAATTTGATAGGAGTAAATTGGAGAGGCCGTGAGATGGTGCTGGATCAGGTTTTCCTCAACCTTCTTGTCTGCTGCAAATGCGTCGCTGGGGAAGTGCCTTAAACTGTGTCTGCCTTAATTACTAGGGAGTTTGAACATTAACATATAAAATGAATAGAGCATCTGGTCATCAGTACAACTCTGACAAGAGAGATCCTTTGGAGCTAAAATTCCCTTTTCCCAAAGGATGGTTGCGTCAACATGAACAGGTCAGGTGTCAAGATCCGTGGTGGTCCCAGCAGGACCAGCTGGGTGGTCACTGGGTTGACAGGAGCAGTGCTGGTCTCTGCTGCTCCTGCCGTGTCCTGTGGTGGTGGTGAGGCACTCGCAGGCGAGGATTTGTCCAACTCTGCCTTTTGGCAACCGAGCATCAAGTTCCCAAAGCCTTCAGCTGCAATCCATGTGGCTACCTGAGGTCTCCTCTCCCTTTCATGGTCAGGGCAAAGGGACAGCTCATCAGCAGGTGGCACCTGCAAGAAATCGAAAGACAAATTGGGCGGGAGCAAGGGGGGACAGTCAGAGCAACAAGACTTGTAAGAACAGGGGTCCCCAAGGAGGCAGAATCCTCAGCTGGGCTTCCCAAGCCACCAGACAGGTTTTTGTACCAGGGAGATATACAACTTTAATAAAAACCAATCCATAGCAAGATGCTTATGGCTTTTCTGCTGTCTGAGAGAAGGGAAGGAGCACTGCCCCATTTAAGGTATCTGCTTTGTAACAGCAGCTGGTCAACAGGAGCTCTAATGGGTCTTCAAATAATATCAAGAAGGAGGTATAGGTCATTAGAAGATGGAGAATATGCAGACACAGAGCAGGGATAGACAGACAAATTGATAGTCTTAAAAAAGCTAAGCAAATAAATAAGACAGCTGGGGAGACAGATACATTGTCCAGCATCCCCACATATGATTTATCTGAACAATAACATTTAATAAAAAACAATTTAAAGTCCTAATAACATTTAGGTTCACCTAATACAAAGAGCAATGACCTTCCCAGTATTCATTTCAGGTTAGAACAACATTTCTGCAATTTTGTTGTCTTTCCAGTAGAGCTATAAAAACTGTAAGTAATTACAAAACAAAATGACAAAGACCTGAAGGAGAAAAAAAAACATCAAACCCTCTCTCAGCAATAGATTCAGGAGGAAGATCTCATCTGAGAAGGCGGGAGGCACCTATCCAGAACAGAAATTTAGCTCGGGATAATTCCCTTTCTACTTGTTTCCCCAACTTTTCTTCCACAATTTAAGAATGTCTACTTCAACAGCACGTTTAGCATCTGCTTTCTCGTAAAGCTCAGCTGCTAAAGCTCAGAAACTCCAGGTTAACAGATGCATTGATCCATGTTCAGGGGCTTCACCCCGCCGTGCTACCATCTCCCTTTCTCCCCTTTTTGGTCGAAGGATTGCTGATTGAGATGAATGAGTTCAGAAAAGAGAAGCTGTCTCTCATGCTTCATTGCCAGCTCTCAACGAACAGCCTATTATAGCTGCGTTGGACCTGAATAAACTCCCAGAAAAAGAATAGACTGGCTGCTATTTTTACATTATGAGTAAATGTAGTAAAAATAATAAGCCGGTGTGACACAGTGTTTATAAGTCCTACTTGCATCAGAGCTGTCTTTTCAGTTATAACAAGTCGGTTCCTAATTATTACATCAAACTGGTCACTGCCAAGTGCCTGATAACAGCAGAAAGTGTGAGACTGGTGTAGAAAACAAGCAGGGTAGTTTTAATGAGGACTCCAGTGCTGTTAAGTTTATGGATCTATTTTCATAGCCTCGACAATTATATTTTGCACTTGAATGGCTGTCAGGGAAAAACTCGGGTAGAAAGGATCTATAATATCTATTAGTGTCTTGTTATGCTGGCTAAATGTCATAGATTCCCAGGGAAATAAAAACTTGCTGGGAAAAAATGTATTTACTCTCAATCCACCAGCCAGGGGAGCGGATCTGGGGAGAAGTCTGAGGTGCAACACTTTGCCAGTCCAGTCCCTCTGCAGAAATAGTTGGAGTGTTGCTCTGAAATGAGCCAACATACTGCAAACGGGGCAGAGAGGCTCCCTGAATTAAAGGTTTCACCCTGCTTGATTTGGTTTGATTCTTAGAAAATAAATCTTCACCTGATATTATTAAGAAACTGCAGTTCATGGGAACAAATAGAATCAATGCTCTTTGTTCTCTTTGAAGAGTACTCAGCACTCGCTGGGGACTGATAGCCGGAGTATTAGAAACACAAAATTAGATTGTGTCTTGACTTAGCTGGCTCCGGTTTTTTTCTTATTATTGGATTAACACCCTATTGAAATAAAGGGACAACGCTGAGCAACAACCGAGCTGCTCTGGAATTAAGAGCAGAAAGTAAACTCAATGAAGGAGTTTTTAATTTTCTCTCAGAAGTGTTGCTTTCCCCACGCACCCTCCGCTCTCCCCCCGCGCTCACGGAGCGGCAGTTCTTCTCCTCTTTCCCACGCTGATCATCCCTTCCCCGCGCCCCTAACAGCGAAGCCGGGGAGCCCCCGCGGGGTGCCGGGACCCTGAACCCCGCGACAACGCTGCGCGGCTCAAAGCTCCCAGCAGAAAAACCCGTAAATCCCACTCGCATCCCGCCGCTCTCCCTGATGGATTCGCGGTTCCCGGCAAAACCCGATGCCGCTCCCCCCCTCCCGCCCCATCCTCCCCGGTTTCTTTTGCACCAAAGGACTTTGGGGGGCGGTTGCAAGGGCTGGAGCGGGAATCGGCGGGGCGAGGGGAGCCCCCCGGGCTTCCCAAACTCCGAAGTGGGAAAATAAACCCCATCCCGCGGCGGGGAGATGGGGATGTTCCGGGGAGGGCGACGCAGAGCGGGACACCCCAGGAAAGCCTGGGAACAACTTGGGAGGTGCGGAGGACACGCGGGGTTTGGGGATGGAGCAGATGCCGGCGCTGCCCGCCCCCCCTCCGCCTCCCTTTCTCCCCCTTTTCCCCCCATCCCCGGGGCTCGGCGCTGCGGGTCCTTACCGGGAGGGAGCTCTGCGGTGCGGGGCTCCCGGCGGAGCAACTTCGGGGCCGGGGGGAACCCCAAACACACCCCCCAGCCCTGCCCAGCTAAGCCCAGCCCAGCGCGGCGGGCAGGCGCTGCGCCGCCGGCCCCCAAGGGCAGATGGCCGGGGGAGCTTTGTGCAATCCCGGCTCCCCTCGCAAGTTAATGCCGAGGCTGAAATCCCTTTTGCTCTCACTTTCAATCACAATCGGAGCTTTTATCTCCGTGCCTGATCCCGGCTGCGTAACTTCCTCTGTGCAGCTTTAGCACACACCATCCCACCGGCGGCAATGGGCTTCTTAAAGGTGCAGGAGGAAATGCAGGGCGGGGGGGAGGAGGAGGAGGGAGGGAAAACCACCCGAGGAAGAGGAGGATGCGAGCGGGAGCCTTCGGCTCCGGCGGCCCCGCGGCTCCCGGCGCAGCATCCGCGCCGTCCCGCTGCCCTCCGCTTGGATAACGGCAGCCGGGAATGCCGCTCCTCGGGGCTCCTCTGTTATTTTTTTCCTTTAAGAGCTTTAAAAAAAAAAAAAAAAAAAAAAAAATTAAAATCATGAGATCATGTTTGCTCGAGGGGGAAAAAAAAAAAAAATCTCCAGTCACGAGGGTTTCCCCACACGTGTAAGTCCTCGCATGGTGTGCCCTGAATATTTTGGGGAGGCTTCTGCTGGCGAAGATGCTGTAAATGAGGCTGCGTGTGTGTGTGTTGGGGGAAGAGGGGGTGGTTGGAATTAATAGGATAAACAAAGCAGGAACTCGGAGATGGGGAAATCAGATGGCTGGGAAATGCTTGATAATGGTGGGAATGTGCTTTGGGATTTAACCAAACCGGGTTTTTCTTTGGTAAGATGGGGGAATTAAGATGCAGGGCTGCAAAGTGTGACAGCACCTTCTAGCATGGGGCTGGAGAAGGGATTGCTTAGGTCAACTCTGTTGAGTCCCTGCTGAGGGGCAGAGGAGGCTCCAGCTCTGGACAAGGCAGATAAAGCTTTGGCAGGTAAAGGTCCAAGTTTTCCCTGCACAGGGCAGCGGCTGGAGACCGGATTCCAAAGCAACAACAGGTTTTTGTCTGCCACAGGCAGGAGGGAATGGGGAAGAGTTGCAGCAAATGTTTAATTTTAGACCATTTGCATTCTTTTACCCTGTCGCATTTTGCAAATAATTAATGCTGTGTGTAGTGTTGTTCTGGATGAAATGGATAAATGTCAGTTCATTTATGGGGAGGAAAACCAAAGAATCCCCACTGCCTCCTATGTACATGACCACCAAAAAAAATAACTGCTCCCTCCTAACCAAGAATTCAATAATTCCTAAGCCAGAAAATGCATTGTCCAGCTTGTATGTGGTTTGAACCTCATTGACTCAGTATTTTGTTACATGATTTCCTTTGGCCCATTGCTCTGAGGTCTCTATGTGGCTTCTCCCATCTAAGAGTCCCTGGAAAACGCACAATCCATCCTTTGACAAGACAGAGGTGATTTAGAGCTCTTCTGGGAAACGTTTCCCATATTCTGGAGCATAAGTGAGATTTATGAAATGCTGGCATTGTGTCTTGACTGTGGCCCAGCCTAAATGTGACGCTGATGCACAGGGTGGGCTTTGTCTGCAAGGATGTCTTTGATTCTGGCTCAACTTTCCACTCCTCTGGTGAGAACACAGTCTGATACTTTCTACATACTAACTTCTTCTGTAAACACTCACTTTACAGCAGCAGTATAACTTAAGTGAGAAGCACTGGCTGGGAATCCAGGGCTGGCTAATATTCCTGGATTTCACTTTGTGCCTTTAGGTCTGCTCGGTAGTAATGACTCCCCTGGAAATTCCCCACGTCTCACTTATTACTTCTTTATTAGTTATTATGGTACCGTAACAGGATAAAAAGGAGTTGGTATTTCATTTTCATTCCCTCTAATAGCCACGGCAAAGACCAAGTGGTGTGCTGATTATTGACATCAGAGTTAAGTGATATGCACGCATCATTAGGTTTCAATTGGAAAGAATAACAGCACAGTGTGAGTCGTCACACTTCTAAACTCCATGGCATTTAAGGAAAAACCAAAGTCGTTTTTCTCAGCCCAGCGAGCTCAAAAGATCAGAAGCTGGCAATAATGCTTGTATAGACACAGGTAAAAGGCGCTAGCTCCAGGCAAAGCACCAGAATTAACTAATGAGCGTAACACCCTGGGGAGGCTGGCGGCAGCTGTGGGGCTTGTCCAAGGTTACACAGCGATTCAGGAGATCCAGGAGCAGGCTTGGAGGATGGGAAATCACCCAGCTCCTGGCTTAAACAGCCAGGTCTGGCTCCGAGGGTCCTGATGGTGGGAAGGAAAGAGATGCTCTGTGGCACGCACAGGCACGGGAGCCCAAAGCAAGCAGCTGCCGGCGGTGCTGCTGCCACAGGCAGGAGGGAATGGGGAAGAGTTGCAGCAAATGTTTGATTTTAGACCATTTGCATTCTTTTACCCTGACGGATTTTGCAAATACCTAATGCTGGGTGTAGTTTTCTTCTGGGTGAAATTTCTGCGAGGAGCAGAACAGATGTGATTTTCCTCGAGGGGACAGCTCTGCCCCCTCCCGAGCGCTCCCTCCTCGCACGGGGAGAGCGCGCGGTTGGAAATCAATGGGTCTGCACCGAGATTTAATTACTCCAGCGTAGGCAGGGGTGGAGAATAAGGCCCTTAATATTTAATACAGCCTCTACTCTCAAAGGGATCCCCAGGGCTCAAGGGCCAAATGTAAAGCCATTATAAGCAGGTGTAATTCTATTGACATATGCGGGCTCGCACCTGTTTATACCGGGGCTATATTTGGCTCCCTAAATCTAAATGGCAAATGGTGCTTTTGACATGCGCGGAAGAAAGAGGGAAGTGTTTTCCCAACTTGGGATGATAGAGAATATACTGAGACAACAGAAGGGAAACGTGGCACCTCGCAGTCCCTGTTCACGGTGGCGAGGCACTCGCTAACACTTGAGCTGAGTTGAGCCCGTGGAGAGTGATCTGAGGTTACTGCCAGAATAATAACCAGGCTTATAAAGGATCTTTCATTTGGGGATACATATTGCTGTATCACCTATAATAGCAATACATTCTTTTTATGGTCCTTATCTAGCAATGTGCGGCCAAGGATGTCAAAGTGCCTCCTGCAAGTGAGTAAGCATTTTATTAGGTGGAAACACACGGCCTGGAATTGTGCTCCAAGCCCAGGAGCAGGAGAGAGACCCCTTTGGGAGGGAGGGTCTCGGGTGATACTTGACAAGCACAGCTCAGTCCAACCCCCTGTTCCAGCAGTGACTCTCTCCAGCCCGCCAGGACCTCTGGGGAGAAGTTTTCGAGGAAAAGGGAGGAAATTACTGTAGGTGGTTTTGTTTGGGATGTTACGGATGGCAGAGGCAAAGGCTGCTTGAACCCTGTGCTTATCAGGGGGGATTTGTCTCGTCTCACCACCCTTGTACTGCCCTTTTGTTCTTAGCAAGCTGAACATTAAAAAAGCTCCCAGCTTGACCAGGACGGGAAAGTTTGTGCTTCCCAGTTTCTTGTGCTTGGTGCAGAGGCAAAATCACGGACTTTTAAAAAGGCAGAGAGGCAAAATGTTTTGTAGTTAGGAGAAATGCTGGAAAACCCACACAAAGCCTTGAGAAACTGAGCCACAGCCAGCTCTGGCTCACACAGGCCAGGAGCGTGGGTGGGGGACATTTATTTTCTTGCCCTCCCTTCACACTCTGCTCTGGCCTCGGGGCCAGACTCTCGGGCGCTGCCCGTGCCCTGCGCACACAGACCTGGTGAGCAGGAGAGGGAAGAGCCGAATGCTTCAGTCCCTGGAGTACTCCACATTTTTCTTCCTTTGTGAAAGCTACTGGGGAAATGGCAGAGAGCATCTGCTCTGGGAGGGGAGGCTTCCCCAGCTCCCTCCTCCTGCACAAGACCTCGGATGCATTTTGTGCAGCTCAGCCGGTTTCGCAGGGCCCTGAGTGGATGTTGCCCTCCCTGATTAGATAACCAAAGGAGCAGTGACTGTACTCTCTAGAGAGAAGATGCTGTCTCTTCCCTGCCAGAAGGACAGCTGGAGGGAGGGTGGGATTTTCAGCATGCAAGCACTTAGCCAGATCAAGGAAATGGGATGCAAAGCATTTTAGGCTAAGAAAGGTTGTTGTGCAGGGAAACATGAGGCTGCTGTTCTGTTCGGGAGATAACGCTTCTCAAAACGCTCCTGCGTGCCAAACTGCAAGCCTTGACTACAGCAGGTCATTGCCTCTTTAAGGAAAACAAGCATGACAAGTCAGAAAAAAACCCCATCACTGTCTCTGCTGAAAAACTTTGATCATTTAAATATTATTGATGCACATTAACCCCAGCAGAGATGGGCTGGGTGATGGGAAGCGCTTCACCTTGACACTGCAAAAATATGTTGCTTTCTGTTGCCTTGTCTTTTGTTTCATATATCAAATCAGAGCTTAGCCAAGTGAATCAGCTCAAGGAAGCATTTAGGATGTATTTGATTTTTTGGGAAGGTAGAGCTTTCCTCATCTTTACCAGCCGTGGGGGTGTAAGCGTGGATAAAAACAGGAGGACTGTTTAAAGGAGGGATCTATAATTAACAACCCCTCAGAAGGGGAACTTTCCTTTTAACTTACTATTAAAATGGAAGTGTTTGGAGAATATACAGTTTTGGCTCTGGGGATCTCCTCTGTATATTTGACAGAGCCCTGTGAATTCCTCTAATCCCTGCCTTGGAGTGTGTCTGTGCTTTCAAATCAACTCCTGTCGCCCCACAGAGGGCTCACCTCAATGCCTGGATGGATTCCCATGGGAAGCCCCAGCGTTGCCCCCCCAGCCCTGATCAGGGAGGGCGTGGATGGGAGAGGAGCTCCCTTCCCAGGGCAGGGCTGTGTCTCCCCAGCCCTGTGCTTCCACAGACGCTTTTTAACCTGAGGAAGGAATGTGTCACTTCTAATGGAGCTGACAGCAGCAGGGAGGGTTTTTGGGGTAGTGGTTGAAGAACACACTTGTAACGAGTGAAGTAATTGAATAAATGCTGACAATTTGATGTGGAAAATGCATAATCAGCTCGCTGTGGAAGGTTGACTTGTTCTTTTTTCTCTCTTCCCTTAGCACTGGGATAAACACTTATCCTCTTCCAAGCAGGTGATGTGTTCAGCAGCACAGAACCAGGAGACCTGGGCACATGCTCCCTCCCAGGCACACGTGTCCCCATCACCAAATAATTGACCTAGTTATGCTACTGTGCTATTAGTAAATACATATATAATAAATCTCAACACTTAACTTCTTCTTGAGTCACATGCTGGTTGAACCCTCCCTTCAGTTGTTCACTGGCTCCAGCCCAGACACAGTCCCTGTGTTCCTGTGCCTGTTTCAGGGAGAAAGGTGCCAGTCCCTGGGTGGTGACAAAT